TTCTATCCCACTGAGGCATTCCAAATGCCCATCAATAGAGGAGTAAATATACCATCATATATCCATGATTTAGAAGTTATGTAACCAATAGAAATAATGAGGTAGTGCTGTTCTAAGTATAGTATGGTAAAGTCTCCAAGACATATTATTCAGTGGGAAAAGGCAATTTGTATGGTAGCATGTTGTGGCAGCCATGGAGTGCACCTGCAGGTGTGACTTCAGGAGAACCTGTTGCAAGGAGTGTAACAGGCTAACAGTTCCCAGCCGGCAGTGTTTATTCCAAAGCTACACTCTCCCTGGGCTTCTCCCAGCCAGTGGCTGAGCACAGAGGGAACTATCAGAGCCCCACAATTTCTGCAGAGAGCAGAATTCCCCTAACAGGTCATCTTTGCTCGGCAACTTCTCAAGGGCATAGAAGAGACTTTCTCAGAGCTGCACTGAAGTCTAAGTCTCCTCCTGCCCAGTGCTGATTCCTTCCTTCTCTCCTTTCACAGGTGTCAGAGCTGTTNTTGATTTTTAATAATAAAACATGTACTAAGCCAAATCACTCTATTAGGAGAATGGGAGAAGGGAAGAATGAAAAAGATAAATTCTTGTCTTTTACAGTAGAAAGTCAATAACTAATAACTAAAACTGAAAAATCAAGAATTGACAAAATAGACATGCTGTTTAGAAAAATAGACGTTAAGGACAAAAAGGAATCAGCTAAAAGAGCTGAACGTTTTTGCATCTGGAGCTTCCAGAGACATCTGTTACTACCAATTCCTGAGCCTTTGAAAGTTCTGTAAGTTGGTTGTTCTTCCTCTTTCTCCAATGGCGGCTCAGGTTTCAGCATTATCAGTTCTGCAGGGTCCGTTCCTATTCAGCCCTGTTCTTGTTAGCTTTCAACACTGTTGCTGTTGTCTTCTATACTGTTCTTTCTGTCTCTGTGAATTTACCACTTAAGGAAAAAAATCTCCTTATCCTAGTTTTAAGTATTTTTAACGTTCCACCATCTAGAAGTAATGTAATGTACTTAACCTATCCCCCTTGTTGTATATTTCCATATCCAATTTTTGCTATCAAAATTAACAATAAAATTAATATTCTTATGGCTAAAATCCTATAAATTGACTCACGAGACCAAAGAATGAAGGAGACACCAACCCAAGTGGAAAAAGAACTCAAAACCATGGGGTAAGTGCAATGATAGAGATGCGCACAGTATATTAGAGAAGCCCCGAGGAGACAAGCCTAACACAGTTTTGGGGAGATATGGGATTTGGGGTCTGGGAAAGTTTCCAGGAGGAGCTGATGATCAAGCTGAGATAGGTGTTAATTCGCTGGAGAGGAGGGGAATGGCATTCCAAGAGGAGGGAACAGGATGAGCAATTCATGGAGGCGGGAAATCTGCACAAAGGGAGCCACCAGCAGGTGTGGAATGCTATAAGAAGCACAGATTGTAGAAGGTGAGGCTAACAAGGCATAAGGACTCCAGTAAGGCCTCATATGTCATCTTAGGGAGGTTTGAATATATTTCTGTGTGATGAGGAGCCCCTGAAGGCTTTTGAGCAGGAGGGGCTATCAAAAAGCGATTAAAGATGCAAGACAGGGAGAAGAAACAGGAGGCAGTGACTGCCATTCAGAGAAGCTGACTGTCTGAGAAGGAGGTGGGAGAGCATACTAGTTAGAGTAAAAGGAGAAGACTTCAAGGACTATTTAGTTGGTGAAATCTGTAAGAATTAGAGTGGGTTTGATGTGGAGGTAGAGTGTGCTGAGAGATGGGGAGGTATGGAGATCAGATACTCACAGGTTTCTGGTTTGCNGTTTATTCCAAAGCTACACTCTCCCTGGGCTTCTCCCAGCCAGTGGCTGAGCACAGAGGGAACTATCAGAGCCCCACAATTTCTGCAGAGAGCAGAATTCCCCTAACAGGTCATCTTTGCTCGGCAACTTCTCAAGGGCATAGAAGAGACTTTCTCAGAGCTGCACTGAAGTCTAAGTCTCCTCCTGCCCAGTGCTGATTCCTTCCTTCTCTCCTTTCACAGGTGTCAGAGCTGTTTAAGCTCATCACCCAGATACAACAATCAGCATTTTAATGCTGATTTATCATTTTAGATTTTTTATATATAGTAACATATGTATACTATTTCCTTGAAATATGATAATAATATATGTACACATTTGTGACTTGCTTCTTAAACTCACTTTTTATATATCACAATTATATATATATACATATTTTAAAAAGTCAAATCATTTTAGATAGCTTGTTATGAAAAACAAAAGTCGCACATCTTCTCTCCCCACCTTTCCTGCTCCTTATAGGAACCACTTTTAAATATTTCACTTTTTGGGGGGGTGTATTTACCTGTGCATGTATTTCTACATAACATGCCCATATTGCTATTTTTTGATTTTTAATAATAAAACATGTACTAAGCCAAATCACTCTATTAGGAGAATGGGAGAAGGGAAGAATGAAAAAGATAAATTCTTGTCTTTTACAGTAGAAAGTCAATAACTAATAACTAAAACTGAAAAATCAAGAATTGACAAAATAGACATGCTGTTTAGAAAAATAGACGTTAAGGACAAAAAGGAATCAGCTAAAAGAGCTGAACGTTTTTGCATCTGGAGCTTCCAGAGGCATCTGTTACTACCAATTCCTGAGCCTTTGAAAGTTCTGTAAGTTGGTTGTTCTTCCTCTTTCTCCAATGGCGGCTCAGGTTTCAGCATTATCAGTTCTGCAGGGTCCGTTCCTATTCAGCCCTGTTCTTGTTAGCTTTCAACACTGTTGCTGTTGTCTTCTATACTGTTCTTTCTGTCTCTGTGAATTTACCACTTAAGGAAAAAAATCTCCTTATCCTAGTTTTAAGTATTTTTAACGTTCCACCATCTAGAAGTAATGTAATGTACTTAACCTATCCCCCTTGTTGTATATTTCCATATCCAATTTTTGCTATCAAAATTAACAATAAAATTAATATTCTTATGGCTAAAATCCTATAAATTGACTCACGAGACCAAAGAATGAAGGAGACACCAACCCAAGTGGAAAAAGAACTCAAAACCATGGGGTAAGTGCAATGATAGAGATGCGCACAGTATATTAGAGAAGCCCCGAGGAGACAAGCCTAACACGTAATAACTTCGTATAGCATACATTATACGAAGTTATACGATGAGATTCAGTCTTCCTATTCTCTATTTCTATGAGATTCACTTTTTTTTAGATTCCACATATGAGTATAAGTGAGATTATAAAGTCTTTCTCTTTCTGTGCCTGGCATTTTTTCACTTAGCACAATGTACTCTAGGTTCATCCACATTGTTTCTAATAGCAGAATTTTCTTCTTTTTTAAGGTATTAATCTCTTTGTATATTTCCTCCTTCAGATCTTGGATTTTTTTTTTGTGCTCATTTCATTATGTTGTCTAACTGAGTCTTCTCATATCTTATTGAGTTTCCTTAAGATTGTTGCTCAGAATTCCTTTTCAGTCATTTAGGGGTTTCCTGCTCTATAGAGTCTGGTATTTGAGAATTACTGTATTCTTTTGGTGGTGTCATATTTTCTTGGTTTTTTGTATTTCTAGTATCTCTTCATTGATGTCTGGTCATCTGGCAGAGCAGTTGCTTCTTCTGTTACTCTGCAGTGGGCTTTGAGGAGAGAGATGTCCTCTTCTTTTCTGGTGACTCTCCTTGTGTCAATGCAGTCGAGTGTCTGTCAGTCCACCTGCACAGCAGCTGTGGCTACTGTTGTGTCATTGAGCTACTTTTGTAGCAGCCGTGGCCATGGCAGTGGCTGTGGTGGGCCACCTGTGTGGAAGTGGTGTTTTTGGCATCCCCTCTTGCCTGCTTCTGGGCAGGGATGGCTGCCCTTGGCTCTTACCTAAGACCCTGGACGTGCTCTCTTTGATTAAAGATGCAAGACAGGGAGAAGATACAGGAGGCAGTGACTGCCATTCAGAGAAGCTGACTGTCTGAGAAGGAGGTGGGAGAGCTTGATACTAGTTAGAGTAAAAGGAGAAGACTTCAAGGACTATTTAGTTGGTGAAATCTGTAAGAATTAGAGTGGGTTTGATGTGGACGTAGAGTGTGCTGAGAGATGGGGAGGTATGGAGATCAGATACTCACAGGTTTCTGGTTTGC